ACACCACCACCTTCTGGGTCTCTGGGGGGAGGTTGCAGCGCAGCATAGAGCTGAAGAATCCCATCCTCTGCCTGCTCCACCTCCCCGAGCCGCTGCCACGAGCCATCAGTCCCCTGGCCTCCTCTTCCTCCTCCTCCTCCTCAGCACCGCTGCCCCTCCCCCGTCGCCTTTCCCTCAGCGCCGAGCCTCCACACCACACGGCGTCACCTCGTCTTCGTCCTCCTCCTCTGCTATCTCCGTCGGTGTCCTCTAGCGCCGCTCTCCTCCTCCGCTCAGCTCCAGCGGTCGCCTCCTCTGCTTCTCCTGCCACTTTGCCGATGCCCAGCGTTGCCCCGGCCTGCCAGTGGAGGCTGGGTGCCTATCTTTTTCAGCGTGTGTGTGGATCTGCGCTCTGTGAAGCTATTTGTGTGTTACGTGCTGAGCATCCCCCCTGCGCTCTCTACTCCCTTTCTCCTCTTTAAGGAACAGGCACCTCCCCTCTATTTCTTCTTTCTATCTTTTTCCTTTTGGTTCCTCTTCTCTCTCTCTCTCTCAGTCAGGATGTCAGGATAAAAGACGGAGGACGGGATGCTGCATCTCCCCGGTTCATGCTCATGCCTCCTCGTCTTCTCCTTTACTCTTCTTTTTATCCCTGTGTCCTCTTGTTCTCCGGCTCGTTCTTCTCTCACTCTAGCCTACATACGTTCAGCTGTTTCAAACCAACCATTTGTTCTCCCTCTGGCTTGTTTTCTTCCTTTCAGATTCCTCCGTCTCTGCTCACCTTTTCTCTCCGCTAAAAGCTCCTGCTAAAATGGTGCTCGGTGCTCTGCCTAGAGCTGTGCTGTCTCAGCCATCCATCTAACTACCAGGATCACCCTCTTTTCTTTTTTTCCCCCCTTCCTTCCCTTCCTTTTTTTGTGTGCCCACCCTTGCATAGCTGGCAGCCAATCAGGATGCAGACAGTGTCACCGTATCCTGGATACCAGAATAGTTGAAGCAGGGCCATAGCAACCCCTAGGAGGGTGAGGAGGGGGTGGGCTGTTGAGATGAGGAGGGACAGAGGGAGGGGTACGGTGGAGGCCATGCAGAATAATGGATGGATCTCAAGGGAGATGTTTGTGTGAGTATGTGTGTGTTTTTGTGTGTGCGTGTGCAGGGGTTTAAGGTTGAGTGCTATTTGCTGCATTCATATAGATTTACCGCGATCCAGCAAATTACAGATTAATATGAAATGTGATAGCAGTTGCAAAGGAAAAAATGAATTACAAAATCTGGTATGACTTTCTGATTTCCTGTCTGTGGCACTCCAAGCTTGTTGTGTTATGTGTTATGTATTTCTGATGACCTATGTCTGAAGTTCTCCTAACTCCCGCCCCTTCTTGGTCTCCAGTAACAGTCGGTCAGAACCATTAGGTTAGCATTAGGAAACTTAAGATGTGACTGTACTTATATAGTGCTTTTTCTAGTCTTTCAACCACTCAGTGCGCTGTACACTGCATGCCACACTCTTCACACACATTCATACACTGATGGTAGTGGCTGCCATGCAAGGACACTTCGACATGCAGCGAGAGGAGCCAGGGATTGAACTGCCAGCCTTTCGATTAGTGGACGAGCCGCGCTACCTCTGAGCCTCCCCACATATATCTAAGCAGAGGAAGTACTGAGGATTGCTCAACTGTTATTGGAGCACAAAGCAAAAAGAGACATGACTTAATTCTAATGAGCTTCAGTTGACACCGATTCAGGCTTTCAAGAAATTCAGAGAAATTCCAAGTAGGCTACCTTACCGTGTTAGTAACATGGGCCTCCCTCTGCTGGAGTCCAAGGTGACATATTCATATATTAGTTTTGTCCAACCAACATTAAAAAAGCCAAAGATATCGAGATTAAAATGATTTAAAACAGAAAAAAGAAGCAGATCTTCACAATGGGGAAGCTGGAACCCGAGAACAACCACAAATAAACAACAAACATACACAAACAGCAGCCTCCTAGAGCCATCTCACATTTCACCAAACCTTTTTGAGTCTCCATTAACTGAGCCTTGCTCTTCTGAGTCTGCCAAAAACCACACAGCACCATTTTGTTGACACACATTTTAACTCCTTATGTTCCTACATAACAACAATCAGTGAGCCACTGGGTGGCAGCAAAGCGTTGACTCTGTCTGGTGCTTAGGAGAGTAGAAGAAGAAAACCAGTTGACTGGATATCTGTTTCAATTGGCTACCACTGTCAACCAATCCGACAGAGCGTGGACTGGATGTAGCAGAAGGAGGGAGAAGGAGCAGTAGACTATAACTCAAAGTAACCGATTACAGACCTATTACATATATTTATTACCAGAATTATTAAAGCTGCAGTAGGTAACTTTTATTAAAGTAACTTTATGTCATATTTGCTGAAACTTTTATTATATCCTGACAGTAGTACATAAGACAGATCTGTGAAAAAATCACACCTCATAGTGCTCCTAATGGCATTGGTAAGAACCCGCCATGCCTGTATGAAAACAACCAATCAGATAGTTGATTGTTGAGTTTCATTTTCAGGTCGTCACGTATCAACGCTGGGAATGAGACTCAACGATCAACTGTCTTCAAGCCACCAGCCCAAAGTGTCTTTCAAACAGTTTGGCACATGACTGGAGAGAAAGCAAAACTACTACGATACAGCTGAGAATACGTTTTAAAACCACCAAATAAAGACTGTGCTGGAAATCTTAGGCAAACAGGTCTTTTAAAGTTTAACTTGAAGTCTGGCAAAAGTGATGAATGTATGTGACATTAGTATTACAACAACATGCAAACAGCTGCCTGTTGTTGCTGGACATGAGTTTAATGAACAGTCGGAATCAGAAATGTATTGCCAAGTTTCACATCCAAGGATAAATGCTCTGTAGAGCTGATGAGATATGTAAGCTAATAATAATAAGCTAATGTAAGCTATACTTACATTAACAAAACTATATACTGATTATGCAAGCAAACAGATTCAACTCTGCCAGGAAAACAGCCTTTGATAAATGTCTTACATCAGTCCTAACAAATATATAAGATAGATTACAGGTCTCTCTCTTTGATAGAGGGCAATTCTTTTTTTATCTATCTTCTATCTCTATTATGTTTATCCTAGTTATATTTCTATTAATTTATTAACTTTAGATTTACAGTTTTCAACAACATATGAATATAATTTGAAAGTACTACAAGGAGTTTTTAACTGGTTATGAAACTTAATTTAATACTGATGCCTCTATATGACTTACGTAAACAAGCAAGACCATCAGAGGGAAAATTTCTATTTCTATAGAATTATTAATGGCTAACACTTATTTCCACAGGGGTTGCCAGAATCACCCCCAAATGGAAGCTCCTTGTATCTGCTTTAAAGTAAATAGTTAACATAGTTTTAAGGTTGTACACCAGCTATAACCAACATTAAGGCCAGAGTATGCTTGAAGCAAACCAGTTCTAACAAAGGCCAAACTCAAAGTAGGCGGAGAGCCTGTCATTATATATTCTACTTGCATCCTCTTTCTTCGCATCTTTATAAATACACTGGTTATATGAGCGTTCCACGTTCTGCCACCTTAGCTACAATGCTAAAGTCGCTATCCAGCCATACATTTCAGAGACTTAAACTATATTTTTGTAAGAAATCTGGTAGATAAATTTGCATGCTGATATACTGCCTTTTTTTGTATGGTCTCAATATATTATTGTTATATACCTAAATCAACTGAGCAAATAAAAATATATATTGCTGTCTCATATTTGACTGATGTGCAGTTGAGACATTTTTGGATTTTACATTAACCTGAAAAACAACCTTCTGTCCTGAGAAGTATCTGCAAGGGAATTCCTTTCAGGCCTCTGCATACAGTTCCAACATGCTCCTGCAACTGATGAGTGAATCGATATTTTTATCAACTTGGAACGTCTCTCATTTGAACTCGGTGGTTAAAGGAGACTTAAGTAATGCCCCACATCCTCAGTGGAAATGACACCGATGCTCCCACAATTTAAATACATAGAGAGATTATTTACAGCATTATACTGTGAGGTACTGTAAGACTGCATGTATCTACTCAGTCAATCACATTTGACCGAATCTTTGCATCAGCAGAATCCAGATCAGGTATCCATGACAACCGAATAACCCAGCAACCTCAGAGCTTGTTTTTGCCAACCCTCTTAGCCAAAAGCCAATGAGAGCCATTTCTAGTCCTCTCCTGAGGCCAGGATCTGTCTCACTTGTTACCGTCCAAACTTTGTATCTGCCATTTCCTGTCAGTTCAGTTCACCTAGGACCCAAACGGGTGTCATTAAAAGAAGTCTACAGAATGGCAGTGGTGGGTTAAGGACAAGCAGGTTTATATGAGATAAAAGTCTTTTAATACTTTGTTCTCCCTAGCGTTGGGGGGAGGTTTCTAAGAATTCATGGCATTTAGTCACGACAATGAACCAATTTCTTTCATTCCCTGAAGGGCCTAACTCCAACAATTCTGCCCCCCTTATCTCTGCAGAGCTCCAAATTGTTTTTTAAAGGCATTGTTTTGGTGGCTCATGGTTTTCTGTAATTTGTCACAGCAACTCTGCCTGACAACTAGACGAAGGAAGGAGTCTGGATGGTCTGAAATCGGCCCCAGTGACAAAGGACATAGGACTGCATTACATTGGAACCTTATTCATAAACAATGGCAGAAATGTAATTTAATGTTGAAACAATGGCAGAAATTTAACTGGATGATGACCTCTCTGCCATCATCACTGCTGGACTATAATTTGGTGTAAAGCCATCTTAACCTAAAATAACCATTTTCATCTTGATCTAACTTAAAGCTAAACATTAACCTTTTTAAAGTCATTATTACTGAAAAAATATCTTACAATGGTGTAAGATATTGAATAAAAAAGTTACACAAAAGAACACACACAATCAGAATAATTTGAACTTCTGCTGAGCCAATCACCCTAGCGACATTCATCATTTCATGGTAGAGACCATATTGCCTACCTCATTGATGGCTAGCTGCTCCCCTCCACCTCCTCCTGGGTGTCCAAAACGATGTCCAGAACCACGAAACTCTTCATACAGTAGATCCTCTTCACTGCCAAGTTCATCCCCGAGCCCCACCTTCTCTGACGCCCCATCAGGAACAACCACCGCTGAGACACAGAGGAGAGACAGAGACAACAGATTAACAGATGAGGTGTTTAATCCAGCCCGAAACTGTGGGTGCTAAATGAGCTGAACTTTTTCAATGGAGCAAACAACAAATTGATGAGCAGGCAGGAATCCAGTGCCTTACACATACAATTGGACCAAAGAAGGTGCCAGTACCCTAATTCAGCACAACCCTAAACATAACATAACCCTAATTCTTGTGGCGTTTATCTTTTTTAACAAGATCATTTTCTGTACTGTTTTTTAGCATTAAGCTGGCCGCCAGACATCACTGGTGGGTACAGCCATGAACTCAGAAGAGGTAAGGGTACTCATGTGGACAAAAATCAGAAGTGTCGGTATTCAGTACTGGTGTGTACCGGCCCATATCAGGCACTGCTGGTATGAAAATACAGATAAAGAAAAGGACACTTTTCAGATAAATATCATTTTAAAAGGGACTCAATAAAGCTAAAACGCCTCTGTAATCTTAAAAATAATTTATATTTAGGCTAGGTTTGACCTTCCTGCCACAGAATCTTGAGATTTACTGTTTAAGAGCATTTGTTGAAGTGTTTTCAGAGGTCTTAGGGCACCCAGGGGTCTAGCAGCACCCTGTCAGTGACTAATGTAAATGCTTGTAAGTTGTTACCATGGAGATTGTTCCCATCCTACATGAACACAACATTAGCCATAGTATCACACAACATACCAGGGTGAACAATACACAGGTTACTGGCCAGTTCTTGACAGATATTGGTCAGTCATTCACATCTGGTGTGATGTTTATAATGGGGTGAAGCTGGATTTATATGATACGATTATTCAAAATGAAACATACGATTATTCAAAAATCTAAGATAATATAGACACAAAAGCAACCATACTAGTATAGCTTTGTGTTTCATCCCATCATAGAGACGTCCTCTGAAGTGTCTCACAGTTTGTGGCTACCTGGCTGATGGGCTAAAAATACTCTTGCCGCCACACCTCATCATAGGCGTCACCCTCTGCTGCTTCACCGACAGCTGTTGCCACGCAGGATGTATCCGTGGTGACAAGTCACCGTGGAGACAGAGAGAGACGGATATAATGAAAAAGCACATACAGCCCCGTGGGCGATGCACTTGGAATCAGCTATTAAAGAATGCACAATAAGATGCAGCTGAGCGGGTCACTGAATTAAAATGTAAGTGGGATATGGTAAATGGTAAATGGACTGTACTTATATAGCACCTTTCCAGTCTTACGTACTTATACTACATCCCCCACTCACATACTGATGGCAGTGGCTGCCATGCAAGGTGCCAACTGCTCATCAGAACGGAAACTAATCATTCACACACACTCACACACCGATGCACAGCATCAGGAGCAATGTGAGGTTCAGTGTCTTACTCAAGGACACCTCGACATGCAGCGAGAGGATCAAACCACCAACCTTCTGATTAGTGGACGACCGGTTCTACCTCTGAGCCCCATGGGGGCAAAATGCAGTCCTCTACAGTCAGAACATACTGGAGGTATTGTGCTTTTGTGAGTACATACAGCAGCACCTTACACTACATACCCATCACAATGTATTCCAACAGCCATCACAGCCATCACTGGGAGAGTGGGAGTTGCAGGTGCTGCCCTCATGGGGGCAGTGTAGGACATTCTGACTGATGATGTGTGATTGTGTGATGCTATAGAGAGATGGAATAGCTCTAGTTATTGACTGGCCTTTAATAATCTGCAGTCTGGATTACAGCAACATGAAGCGGTGAAAGGAGATGCAGCAAATTAGTTCTCCAACAAGCCGCCGCTCTGCACTGACTGACTGGGGCATACTGACACTTCCCACATTATAAATCCATGAGGCTTAATTGTTACAATTGACTCTTTCATGTACAATACAGCATAATGTAACCTTAAAACTAGTTTTGACACGCCCTGTTATTGTTGTAAGCCTGTATATGTGTGAATTTCAGTTACTTAAATGACAATACTGACATGCAGTGCCCTTATGGGTCAGAAGCCTTTCTTAGACTGGACCGATCAACACAGTTAAAAAACCAAGAAGTAAACTAATCCACAATTCAACCACAACGAAGCAATGCAATTAATTGGTGATGCTTTTAAAAGCAGAGCACATCAGTTTGCTTTTACTTGGGCACAATATTTCTTTCTTTCTCTGTCTCATAAAACATAAAGGTTGGTGTAGTATTAGATTCCAGTGGTGGCTGCATTGGATTATTTACGATTTGTGTGATCCAAACATTTCCAGTAACTCCAAAGCATTACAAAGTTCAAAAAGTAAACATTTATTCATTAAAAGAAAATGGGTGTAATCATTTCCAAAATTCTATTTTTTAATGTCAAATGAAAACTCTGCGTCTGACCACATTAACTGTGATATAAATATTATATAACATACATAAAATAATTTAAAACTGTTCAAATCTGCCATGTTTTACTGTTAAATGTAAGCAGTAATAGTGTTAACCTGTGATCTATAGAGTGGTCTTAATCAGAGTCTGAGATTGATTGCTTCTGTCTCCACCCATATACCTGAGGAAATCGCTTCATTAATAACTTGATTCTGTGTTCAGAGTGTTAACACAATGTCTTGTGACATTTTTTATAAGTTAGAGTTAGGTTTTGTCAAGAGCAGTAAAATGTGTGTGTGAGCAGTACCTTGCTCGTTAGCAGAGTGACTCATAGTTGTGAGCAGAGTGCAGCCACCATTTTGTGCCGACTGTGAATTCATGTTTACACGTTATGATGTATTTTGTATAATATTATTTATGTACTTTAGGGGCACTAAAATAAGTTTTTGTGAGACTCTACTGACAATAAAATGAGAGAGTTACCGCAGGTAAATACTGTGAATATCATTGTAACTTGAATATGGTGTGTACTCTCTAGTCTTCTGTAGATATCTTCATTTTTTGTAAATTGTTATATATTTGTAAAAAAATGTAACGTTCTTTTTGAGGAAACAACACTGCATCACTAGAGATGGCACAATATATGATATTACTGCAATATGGGGATAATGGTATATATTAATAAATACCCTCATTTTCTGTTGCTTTCCACACTGACAGGGTTAAAACATTATTTTCTCATCCAAGATCCATGTTCTAATATTACATTTATCATTGTGACTTATCCTGTGATGGCCTGCCATGTAGCTGGGACAAATACACAGTGTGGTGAATAGAAAACTAGTAAACGCACCGTGGGATGGAGCAGTGACAGGAGAGGATTTCTATCCTTCACAAAGAACAAAAGCAATCAGTGTCACCTACTGAACAGCAGCAGATCCATGCAAGCCACCATGCCTCTCTCAGCAGGGAGGGAGAACTAAATTGCACTGTTTACTGTTTGCCTCTCGGTCTGCTGCTCAGCCTGTCCTTGAGAAATGTGTGTTATGAGTGAGATGTTGATGGGATCACAGAACAGAACACCGATTTAAATGGGCTTTGTGTGTAACCGTTGGAAGCTGAGGCAAAGCATGTTAGTGTGTGAGTTTGGACTGTAGCATTTAATCATCCTGAGCCTCTGGATGTGGGTTAGCCATATTAGTGGATCAGATTTGTCTGCATGGAGAACATTCAATACTCGCTGACACGGGTGTGTGTAGATCTTTGTGTATGTGTGTGTATTTGTGGTCATCTGAGGAATTCAAGCGTAATGGTTGCATTTTCATTAGATGTGTGTGTGCTCCTGGCTGCAGCTTGGCACGTGTCCACTGGCAGCGCGTGACTGGGCAGCCTCGTACGACGGGCTAACCGGGTTGAGGGAGAGAGAGGGAGGGGGGTTAGATGTGGTTACAAGGCTACATGACGACAGTACTTATAACTAATTATTTTTTCTTGTTGTTGTATCTGTACCCTAAAACATTCTTTCTCAGATGAGAGTACATGTACCCCTAGAGTTACTTCGAAGTACTGCAGGGGGTATGCAATATTGTTTTTAAATGTTATTTAATAAAATATATGCCATGCACATTTATTTCCTAAAACAATTCAATGATAAAATTTAAATAAATTAAATAAAAATGTACATATGGTTCTATAAACCACATTTTATATTCAATATTCCTATTACCTATTTTGTGTTAATTTTGGCAGCCCTGACAAAAGCAGTAACTAATCCGACCCAGGTGGCAGGCATGAATAATAACTATATAGAAATAGTCAGTCTACTTGCTGATGTTCTTGTTTGTTTATGTAGGTCATATAGAGGCATCAGTGTTAAACTGAGACTGCTTCATAAGCAGATAAAGCTTTCTGTAGTATATTTCATTGAATAGTTCAAATGTTTGGGAAATGCAGAGGAGAAGGTGATCGATATTAGTCTGAGTGTTACATAGTCAGTACACGGTTAGCCTAGCTTAGAATAAAAACTGCATGCATAGAAGAAACAGCTAGCCTGGATCTGTCCAAAGTGACAAATACAGTTAAAATACCAACATGTCTAAAAGTAGAACAGGAGCCAGAGCCTTCAGTTACCAAGCTCCTCTCCTGTGGAACCAGCTTCCAGTTGTGGTTCGGGAGGCAGACACCCTCACCACATTCAAGAGTAGGCTTAAGACATTCCTCTTTGATAAAGCTTATAGTTAGGGCTGGATCAGGTGAGTCCTGAACCATCCCTTAGTTATGCTGCTATAGGCCTAGACTATCGGGGGATTTCCCATGATGCACTCTCTTCCTCTCTCTCTCTTTCTGCACTCATTCATGTTCCATTAATGCATGTTACTAACTTCACTTCTTCCCCGGAGTTCTTGTGCTTTCTCGTCTCGCAGGTTCTCATGGATCCTGGTGGAGCCTCCTGCCATGGTCCTGCTTGACTCCCATTGTTAGTATCACTGATATTGTTGCTATTATTATCATTACTATTATTTTTACTACAAATACTATTATTACTATAATCACTGCTCATTGTCCCCAATCGTTGTTGTCGTTGTCATCATCTTCCTCATGTTCATCATCATCAGTCACTATCTGCATCT